TGAAGGATTCAAGCGTAAATCTCTCCTCAGTGATGTTGGACGCAGTAAGAGAGCCCTCTGGGTTTGCTGCGTGAAGAGGAACAAAGTTCAGAAAGCACATCTAAATGGCTAGAAAATTTCCTTCAGGCTTCAATGTCTCTTCTGCTCACAGCATCTCTCTTTCTCACAGCTCCAATGAAGAGATTGCTAACATGATTCAGAAAGGGGACAGATCCAGGTTTGATGCTGGGATACTGAAACAGCTACTTAAACTGCTGCCTGAAAGCCATGAGGTATTACGAAGCCTGCTACCGTATCAGAGCTGGTTGTGCTTGCTTGGCTTGAAATATTTTCACTGGTAGAGCAAGAAACTGTGACTGGATCCTGCACTGGGCACCAGAAATAACTCTATGGGTATTTTGCTGTTTCTGTTGTTGCTAGATAAACAAACTGAAATCTTGCAAAGAAGAAAGGTCAGAACTAGCAAATGCAGACCAGTTTTATCTCCATCTCTTGGAGGTTCCTAGGTAAGCAAAATTGCCTTTGTTTTCAATCCTTGAGTTTGACTTGTAAGAATCAACACCTCCATTTCCTGTACTAGAGGGATGTTTCTAACAGTCAGTGCTCAAGATAAATAATCTGACTGTAAATTGAACAGCTAGCTGTAGAAACCTTTCTTTCCCAAAGGTCAAACATATTTGGCAAACTAGTGTTAAATTAACCTGGGTATTAATAAGCTACTGAGAAAACTTCTGACTGTTGTGCTGCACTGTCTGCATGACGCAAAGCTGCAGACGGAACCCAGCCACCAGGATCTTACTCACTCCATCTCTGTTCCAGAGACCGGTACACCAAAGAGATCCCACAAACCAAAGGGTGAATCACAGTACTGCTTGTGCTTTGACCACCTTCCAGGAATTTCCTGACTTTTATGAAGTCAGATGAGATGCATACATATCTTTGTGCTGCTCTTAAAAACAGTGTAATTTGTTGTAAATCATAGGAACAGCCTCCATAAATATGAGAAGCTGCCTGTCCCATAGCCTGAGATGCCTTTTTTGAAAATGCAGTGGTTAAAATGTGGCATTTTTTCCTCAAAGTTACAGCTAGCTTTAAAATTACTTTAGAGAATGTTTTTATGGGTCTTCCACAACATTAATCCATGGCTAGGCATAAATATCATTAAAGGGCATCACTGAAATAGAATCAGAATTTCTATTTTGGAATTAAAAAGGAAGAACAAAAATCCTAGCTAGCACTGCCCAGGAATCATCAAAACTTATTGCCTTGTTATGCAAGGAAACGACTGCCAGATTTCAGCATAACATTGCTTTCTGAAAGAGGCATCTTTGGAAATGCCTCAGTGTTTGGTTTATTTATAATGCAGTTCAGTGAGAAGCATGTTGTGTCAGAACATTAAAGTGAACATAACAATGATGGTACTGCACTTTGCCTAAAATGGGTTATTCTCTGCTGAATTTGATTAATTAGGTGCATAGTTTGTTTTTCTTTTTCCCCTGCTGATTTCTTTTAGCTACCAGTTGCGAATTGAATGTATGCTGATTTGTGAGGAAACACAAATTCTTCTGCAGTGTCTGTGGCCAAAAGCACAAGCCATCAGGACAGCTTGTGAAAGTAAGTGTATCACAGATGTGTCTATGGCCAGTGCTCAGTCACGGGAAGCTTCTATTTCTAATATTGATGCTATTAGAAATGGCATCAGTGATTTTATAAGCTATGATCTGATAAAAATTAACCTTTTAATTGCAGAAAATGTAGTTAACAATCGAAACAACACATTCTTCCCCTTAGAGTTCACTCAGTAGAATGGCAATTTGTGCTGCTGTGCTTTAAGTGGAGCTTCTGTCAACATAAATAAAACACACTGCCTCTCTCCATCAGTGACCCCTGTACAGAAGAAGGAAATTTCCTACGTGTCAGTGCCAGATGTTGTTTGAGTAGAGGTTGAATTTTTGTCCACAGCAATGATTTTTGTCCCTAACAACAAATCGGTTCCAATTTTCCTTCCATCCATGCTGGTTGCATGCTGGTTGATGCATCACAGTCTGTACCGGCTTCCAAAACAAATGTCCCTGTTCACAGCATTTCAGAAACTCCCTTCACATGAAATTAGCCTTGGTTTTTGTTTTAACACCAGTTATGCCTTAAAGGATGGCACTGAGGCAAAGAAAAAAACCACTATGCTTTTCTTAACCTAGAATAAATGTACTGAAAATGCAAGCTATCAACTTTTGCCAATTTAAGCACTGCCTCATTTATGGGTCTCCCTTATAAGCAGCTGCAGTGATGACACATCCATACTTGATGGAAAAACTGGTTTTCCGTATACTTGTAGAAAAGAGACTAAAACAGAAACCTCATTCATTCTACTTTAAGTTGAATTATTTCTGTACTGGTTGATTTCCAAATTCATAAAGGAGGCTTTACACAATCTTGGATGATAATTTTGTTAACTCACTGTCAAATGTAAGGAAAATCCTGCTTCAGACAGCTCCATGTAATTTACTGAGAATGCTTTTTTATTCCTCAGCACTTCTTACCAGTCGTCGACTGCCGGTTTTCTGTCAGTTGATTCTTAAGGTTGGAAACTTTCTCAACTATGTAAGTAGGCTGGTATTTTTTCTTTAATTAATTTCTCTATTTCCAAATATAGCCTAAGATACAAACACAAGGAACTTTTTTTCTGTATCTTCCAGGGGCATCACACTGGAGATGCTGGAGGTTTTAAAATCAGCGCCTTGCTCAAACTAACAGATACAAAAGCAAACCAAAGCCACATCACTCTGCTTCACCACATTTTGGAGGTAGAACAAAACTGTGAAATAATTTCTGTGTTTGTTATTCTCTACTATTAATTCCCCAGAAGCTAAGGGGCTGTAATTTCAGCACTACCCACCAAAGACATCAGAAGAGTGAGCCTCTGTATCTGAAATACAATGAGCGCTTTGCCACCGCTCCCTGGGCAAAAATAAAGATGAAACCCATTAGCAGCAATGTGTAGAAAACCTAGTGTTAGCTTTCTTCCTCAGGTTTGCTTAACATGACTGCTTTGTGTTTTCTTTTTCTTCTGCAACTGCTCTCTCATGGGGACGTGCCTTCCAAATGCATCTGTCAGATGAGGTTAATTTTAGTGTTATGAAGACAAAATCTCAGGTCAGCTTGCGTGCTGTGGCAGCACATGGGATGTAAGCCTGAGCAGTTAAGAGCCTTTTTTTCCTCCTTCTTTCCTCCCTACGGCTGCCAACTGTGACAGAAAGAAATGAACAAGGCTAAACTTACCCCAGCACTTATAAGGACAAAAACTGAAGCATTCATTTTTCAATCCAGATATTGTCCAGCTTGAAAGACTTTCCTGCCCTTTGACAAACAGTGAAAGGTAATGATTTTTTACTTCAATTTTAGGAGGTTGAAAAAAACCACAATGACCTGCTGCAGCTTCCCAGAGATCTTGACTTTGTTTCCAAGGCAGCAGGGTAGGACATTATTTGTTTTTGTCGTGTATGAATTGCCTCTTTTAAGCTAACAACAAGCTGAGTCATTTTATGGTGGTGTAATAAGGTCACAGGACTTCTCTGGTGTGTGAGAGCGTTTCCTTTCTAAAATCAAACAGTTCTGAGATTTGTAAATCAATCTGGTTACAACTTTTCATGTTGCTTTTCATGTGTGCTTTTCATTGCTTTTCATGTGTTGCTCTGTGTGATTCTTCTTTCAGATGCTCCACTACTGCCTTAGAAATGAAACTAAGTAAATAGTGAACTTGATTTCAAGGATCGTATTCTTCTATATATTGTAAAATAAATATTTCCTGAAGTTGCTCCATCATACTCTTATGCCGGGCCATAAGAACTATGTGTGCAAAGCTGGAGTGAAAACAGAATGGGGCAGTTTACTAGCAAGCAGGGACCTGAGTTAAATATCAGCACTTCTCTACAGTACAAGTGGGTGAAAAGAAAAAAGTCTGGTTTTGGTGAGCCTAAAGCCAGCTGAATTTGTTTAGCTCAGAAGAATCACGTGAGGGACATGCTGAATTGCACTAATCAAAATACAGATGTATAGCAGCAGGATTAACAGTTCTAATCTTGTTATGAATTCATAGGAACCTCAAAGTGTTTTAATCTTCCTTGTAACTAGAAGCAAGTGTAACTTGTAAATCTGGGGTAAATTGACATTGTTAAGCTGCTAAATAATAAGGTAGAAGTATTTTGATTTGATTATGCAGGAAGAACTAATATACAAAGTGTCAGGGCTTTTCCTTGATATCTGTGCAGAATTTCTGTTGGATGTTGTTCTGAAGCACAAATTTCTTTCTTCTATGTGCAATAATAGAGGTACTTTTGTTATCTGAATCTAAACCTTGCTGATGCAATAAATGTGCTCTTTTTTGTAAAGTAATTGCTCTTAAATTTAGCCAAACCCCCAAACTTATAAAATTGTTTTATTAGTCAGCCCAGGGAGAGGTGCTTACAGTGCAAATCCTGCACAGGGCTCTTCTATTGCTGTTCATATCTGGATGCACCTTGTTAGACAACATCAATTTTTGATGAATCAGTGATTTTCTTTTGGTAAATGTGGATATTTGAGGTATAAAACATGTTTGCACTGTAATATGTTTGGTCCTCCATGTGAGGTAAATGAACTTTGAGATAACCCTTCAGACTATAAATAGACGATGGAGAAAAACAGCAAGGAAAAGAACCATTTAATTATTGACAGTACTGGCACAAGAGTTGAGTGTGTGTTGCCTATGAATAAAAATAGACTGAAAATTTTGGAGGCTTTTGAACAGAGAGGTTCTTCCCTGTGCTGCCCCAGGAAATAGTGAGGGCAGAAGCACAGCTGCTTTCTCAGATGAGGGTTTGAGCAGCAGAGAAAAGGGCTTACATAGAGGAAAATTACCTGCATAAGCAGGGTTTGCTAGACAACTAATCCTGCATTCTTTTGCAGAACTGTTTTTATAATTGTTTTTAAATGAAAAACAAACAAACAAACAAAAGACTCACCCCTTTATTTTCATTGTGCCTTTTGTGAGCCTTTCAGGTTCCACTTTGACGCTATGCGGGCCGAAGCAGGTGACAATCTGAAGAAACTGCTGGAAATAGAGAAGCGTTTATTTTTGTCAACAGAGGATTTAAAAATACAGCACACAAAACTTGTTCAAGTAGGTAAAGGGGGCACGAGGTTCTCTGCACCCTGCTTCCCAATCACTTTAAATTTCTTCTCAAAGGCTCCAAAATTCAGCTTGTGATGGACACAGGGGTCTGTGGGCAGGGGTCCTAACAACCTCCCTCTGCACTGGGGTGGAGGAAGAGTCCTGTTCATTCTCCAATTCTGCAAAGTGATACTGTGATAAGGAAACAGCTGAGGGGCAGTTAGCTATGTGTGTGGGCAAAAGAAAGGAAGATGCTAAAAATGAAACCTGTGATCCAGCTATAAATACATATGGGACAGTAACATGTTCTGTCTCACTGCTCTTAGAGGAAAAAAAAGAAGTGAGCGAACAGATTTACAGTATGTTTTTATGTGTTTATTTCCAGACGTCCTAGCTTTAAAACTTCTCAAAACAGGCCTATGTAACTAAAACTAAAAGGGGTAAATTCTGGTTCTGTGTAACCTTAGATAAGTCATCCCAGTTTGTGCCAAATTTTTGCCTGGTTACATGATAAAAGTGGCAGCATACAATGAGCTGCCCCGGTCCAAATGGAACTGGGGGAAATGCACATGGTTCAGTTAAGAAAGCGTAGCATGCTGTCACTGAGTCTTAATTGTCAGGTTTATCAAACCTACTCTTAACTGGGTTGGACTAGATGGTCTTCCAATGACTCTACAATTCTGGGCAGCTCAAAACGTATCACTTAATGTGCATAAATTTGTTGCAAACTGTGTCTCAGAGCAGTGTCAGTGCTTCAAAGGACCTGCAGGAGGAGTTGGCCAACATTGAAAAGAAGAAAGAAGAACTAGCTGACTATCTTTGTGAAGACCGAAAAAAAATGTCCTTGGAAGATGTATTTAACACAATGAAAACCTTCAGGGAACTCTTCCTCAAGGCCTTGCAGGTGGTTTGCATTTGTGACTGTTTAGAAATGGATAACTTTTCTTAGGCAAAGTCTAACTGGATAATATGTTTACATGTTGGCATTTTACTGCATTAGTTCAAACCTACAAGCTTTATGTCCACTACAACGCTGTTTTCCCTGAGAGATTACATTTGGCACCCCATTGGCTTATAGGCTTGTTCCATTGGCTCGTTCCTTGCATTAGGAGGTAAGAAAACAAATTCACCATAAAGGTTTGCATAACATACTGATTATGCAGTATCTGAATTAATGCACTTTGTCTAAGGATTTCTTAATGCCAGATGACAGTGGCTTCATATATGTGCTTTACTGACTTCAGCAGAGCCCAAGGATAGAATTGCCTTCAACAAGTATTGCCAAAATAGAGAAGTATCTGTTCTGGGCAAAGGCAGGGCAAGAGAGAGTGAGAGGTCCTTCAGGGCAAATCAGAGCTTCTAGTGAAAGTGAGAGAGCTTCTAAGTAGTGTCTGAAGGCAAAGGATGGAGAAGATTATCTTCATGTTTCTACAACCTGCTCCTCTATGAGACATTGGGCTTCAGTTTTGCAAGCAATGCCACCACCAGGCTCAGAAGCAAAGTATAGTGCCCCAGACAGTCTGGAAATTTTTTGTTATTATTATTTTCAAACAAAGTGCTTCTTCATTCCCTGAGGGCTCTTTGTTATCCGTCAGATAATGAACAGAGCAACACATAGGAAATTGATAATATGAAACTACTTGATCTCCATCTACTTAAAGAGGGAGAAAAAAAGTGTTTCAAACACCACAACTGACACAATGGAAAGGAGCAGGTCTTCACACAGGGTTGAATGTTCCCTGCTTCTCAAAAGATAAAAGGAGCAGATGGCAGGAAGAAGGAGACTATTTTCATTCTGCTCAAAGATAAAACTCAGAATTGAAGCTACACTGAGAACTGAGTTGTAAAATTATGGGGAGAACGAAACAGTTTGATTATGGAGGGCTGGGAGAAACATTTGATTTCTCTTAGCTCTTGCAGCTGTTCAAAGAGAGGAGCTCCCTACAAAGAAGCCATTCAATTTCAGGAAAAGGAGAAGAAAAGTTAAACCAAATCTGCTCTAAGAAGTACCCAGATCATTACAAAGATTACACCAACAGCTCTGCATGGGGATAGGTTCTGAGTGCTCCCAGATAACCAAGCTGAAACAGCTGCTCCTCAGTAGGGTGTTGGAACAGGATGTGCTTTAGATAGTGTGAGGATATAGAGTTGTCAATGTAGCATCTTCAAATTCAGAGATCAAATATGTATCTGACGTCTCATAGTGCAAATCCAAAGGGAAACCCTTTTTATTTAATATCATCCATACAGCTGTCTTCAGTAATCCAGGAGATGGAGAAAGGATTGTGAACATTCATTCCTCTGCCTAAGTGGACTTTCTTGTGTTGAAGTAACGCTGTTAACAGCATATTTGTGTCAGATTTCTATGGCTTTGTTTTTAATTTCTCTGTACAATTCAGTTTAGGCTTGCTCAATCCATATTTTTTTTTCCTGAAGTGTTTTGGTTTGTATTTGGTACAGTGTGTGCTGCTCAAATAGCTAGACAACATATCTACCCTGAATTGATCTCCTTTATTTCTTGTGGTGTGTTACATGCAGGCATTCTCCCAGGGCCTGTAGATCTCCAAGTCTCTCAGCCACCATAAGATCTCTAAGACATTATGCTAAGGCACAGCAGGAATTTATCAGGCAGGCACGTAGGAGGCATACAAAGATGAAAGGCTTTTACCCTCACCCTAAAAGTTCACCAACTGCATCTTTCTTTTGGAAGCACTTTCTCCTCAGGACAAATGTCTTTTTATTTCTTTGCCAAGAAAGCACTATTTGTTGGGTTGTTTTTTTTTTTTTTAGGCATCCAGAGGAGGTCCCCATAACCTTGAACCTGCAATGTTCCCAACTGGAACACTTTTAGACTAACTGGTCTAAAAGTTTTGTGGAAGAAATGATCCCAGCTTTTACCTTCTGTAAAAGATCTGAGGAAATTATGCACATTTCCTGGGACTTTTGTCTGGCTCATAGAAACAGTGGCAGGTGATCTGCAGCTATTAACTGTATCTATCAGTACTATGAGAAAAAGTCTTTTCCGCTGCTAAGCTCCCTGCAAAGGAGACCAGATGTGTCTCACTGAGAATCTTATTTGCACCCATCACCATCTTCCAGGACATTAGTAAATTCTGTGATATGATAAAGCAGTACAAGTCTCTACGACAACAACCCAACAACTACTGAGATACCTACAACATGTAGATTAGCTATGGACTGGTTGCAATTAAAAGCAGGTGAGCTCCCACGTGGTGAAGGCAGCGTTCTGATGATGACTGTAGTTCTGGAACAAGGATTCCACAAGCATTTAAGTAAATAGCTTTTTCTCATCTTGATGTCCCATTGTACTTAGTGTAGCTGATCAGAACTATCCTCCCCTATGATTGTGCTGTCTGTCAAAACCCAGAAATACTTCTCCATTGAGTAAAGGTCTTTCTGTACTAGAAGTAATCATTCAACATCTTTCTTTTCCTACATTAATTTTATCGTCCTGGATCCAAAAGTTCTAAGGAAACCAGAATACAACCTGTCTGCAACAGGCCCAAAGATTTATACCATCCTGACAGTTGGATGCCTCTCAGTACCAGCCATATGGTTTGGACTCTGCTGCTGAACACCACCACATAAATATAGTGGGCAAATTTAAAGGATGCCTGAAGTAAAACTGAATTACTGTTTAACACGGTTGGAATTTCTGGTAGAAGTCTCTGAGTACAAACAATATAAAACCAAGGTTGCTGTGGGATAAATATCTAGAATGTAATTAAATTGAACAAATGTTGAGTCTTGTGGGCAAAAAGATTCATTAAGAAGAATGTATTTCAGTCTGTATTTGAATTGTTGAAGTTAAAGCTATGAACTCATTTGCTGGTAACGTAAGATGGAGAAAGCATTGACCAAGAAGCTCAGTTGTGTTAATTACCCTCAAACCCCAGCAACTGAGCAATGTCATTGTAAGTGTATATAGGGCATATTTAGAATAGCTGTTAATTGCAAACAGAGTATACTAACTGGCTTTTCCTTTTGTAACCCTTAGTATTTAATTTTCTTCTTGTCATTCTATCTCAACGCAGGAAAACCAAGAAAGGAAGGAACAAGCTGCAAAGTCTGAGAAAAGGAAGAAAGAACTCAAAGTAGAAGACACGAAAAGGCTAAAGGCAGAGCACGGAAAGAGCAGTATATTTAGAAAAAAATGATTCTGTTTTTATTAGTCATATTTTTATTAATTAGAAGCAGATTATGTGCTTAGCTGTGGGTGATCTATCAGAGTAAGAGTGATGTAGCCATTGTTGATGCTATTGTTAAACAGAAAGTTTAGTAAAACATCAATTTTCAAGGGCTCATGAATGATCAGAAGAAATCATGACAGAAATGCTACAAAAAATATCACTCCCAGTGAGCATGTTACTCTATTTTTCTTAAAGTTGGGTAACATACTGGTGTTGCTCTGAACAGCTGTTTGAAGGCTTTTAGGGAACACAATGAGGTAAGCAAACGTGAACTTCAAACTGCCACATTGTCACTGAGCCAGGCAAGCTGTGCTATGTATCACTGTTACCTCAACCTTCCCTTTTTTCTGACTGAAGTTCTGCTTCCTTTAAGTGGATGCGTGTGCACTTTAATAGTATGGCTTGCTGAAAAACAGCAGTCTGATGTAAATCCAGAAAAGCTTTTGTTGAGCTGGGTGTGAGGTATTTCTAGTGTTAATATTAACAGGTATGTATTTTAACATTACATTTTAGTCAATAGTTGACCTGCAGTTTTCTTAAAGATTTCTGCTTGGTACCATTTAGTTGTGATTCTTTATTCTTCAGTGAACTACTGCAAAACTGGCATTAGTAAACTTGAGAGGAGTTCACATAGATATTGCACTGGATGCTCACCCTTGGAAGACTGTTTTCCTTTCTCCCTGCTGTCTAACTACATGGCCTTCTTTTAGTTTCTCCATCAAAACTACTCATCTTTAGAAATGCATTTTAAAAATATGTGCAAATACATTGAAAACTGACCAAAACAATGTTTTCCATATTGTCTTGACAAACTGTACTGCAAATGTTTTATCTACTTTGCATAACTACTGTAAAGCTGCGGATTCAAATAATAAACCTTTTCTGATGTAAATACAGACAAGCAACTTAATATGTGGTAAAATAGAATTATAAAGCAACATTCAGATGTAAGAGTTAAAGGTATGTGCCAACCCTATGAAAAATAAGAGCACCAGACCAGAATACGCCTCTACTATACAGTTTAGTTGGAAGTGTCGTAGTTTTCAGTCTCTTTTGAAAGGTAACTTTTTTCTTGGGATGTAAATTTATTCAGTATTTGTTTTAGAAAATTGTGCTGAGTACAGGGGACGAGGAGAATCAGGCATTTTTGCAATCTTGTTTTTCTATCAGGATCAGATGTGGCAGAGGGCTGGAGATCAGATTCTTTAGCCTACGTGCAATTTTATTTTTTTTAAATCGCATACTTAGCAAATGAAATAACTATTTGCTGAAGGAGAGTATAGAAGATTTAGTGAAATAAAAGGCCTGGTGAAATAACTGTGTGAAATAACACGAACCTCTAACTTTGTTATGTCCCTTGTAACCCTGTGCATAAATCTTTGAGGCCCCAATCCCACGCTCTCCTAATCTCTGACCTTAACTCCAGTCACATGCTCTGTTAGTGTCAATGTCTGGTTTATCCAGTTGTCTGAGGATCGTTTCTCTGCAGTTGACAGACGTGCCAGGGGAAGCACACAGCAGCAAGGTCTCAGTGCAGGCCGTAATCTCGCTCTCTCTAGTTCAAAAAGGAGATATGAAAGCAGAAGCAAATGTCATTGATGTATTATTAATAGATTACAAGCAAAGGCTTGCAGCTGCTCAAAAGAGCCAGAAACCAGTCTGAATAGTTACCAAAACTCCAATGTATGGCACAACTTAGGGAACAGATCTCAGAACTACTTGACTGCACATATTAAAAACAGCTTTACTTTCTACAGCTTCTGTTACAGAAGCCTCTGTTGTTGGACGCTTACATTCTTCAGAATTGTAGCAGTTACATGCAAACAGCACTACTTTATATTATTTCCCCAGAAAGCACTGGAACTTTTAATTAATCAAAGGGAAAAAACAGCTGCTTCTAATGCAAATTTGTGGACACGGCTATTGATCAGAACAAGAAACAGAGTAAAAGCCCTTGGGGCCAAAATATGAAAACATGCAGAGTAGGTTATGTTAAACATCTGGTGAGAACTTATGTATGGAACTGTGACACTGTAACCGCAGCAGAGAGGGAAATGCTATTAAAAGACAAAAAACAAGTAAGTTTTCATGAATGGTACTGGAGTTTTACAACATAATTATCACCTTTACATATAGAAATCAGTTGCAAATGCAGACCTTGAGCCCAATGTCTTATGTTCTTATATGCAGGGTTAAATATAAGAGCTTTTCTCTGGCAAACTTCTTATTGTCTTTACTTAAACAGTACTTAATTATTTGATTGTAACAATCTGATATATGATCAAAAACCATCATCATTAATTGGTCTTGCAACAGTAAAAGCATCCACTCTCAGAAGTACTTTTTGATTGTCTGGGCAAAAGGCTTCAGAGGAGACCTACAGCACTGAGATTCAGCACGTTACTGAAGTTAGTTTAAGGGTTCACACCAAATCATTTTTGCCAAATGTGTTCTTAAAACTGCCCAAGGACAAAGGAACTCCACAGTCTAGACAAAGCGCTGCTGTACAAGAGTGAGAATCAGCTCCAGTGTTAGCAGTATGGGAGCAAAGCTGGCCTTTTTCACAGCCTCAAGCTTAATATAGCTTTATACGCCTAAAAATCTGTACGTGTTACTCAGATCAAACAGAATAAAAGACACAAGCCCTTTTCATTTCATCCTGTCCATCTGTCTGCAATAACCCTTTACATATTTTGTAGCTGTTATCACAGCACCTCTGGTCTTTTTTTTCCTAGACTAAACAACCCCAGCCCTTACAGATTTTCATCCTAGGGCTTGTTTTCCAAATCTGTGTAATGTACTTGTGAATCTCTTCTTGATTTTCTTCAGCAGAGTCTCCAGCTGGATGGTTCAGCAGGGCAAAGGACATCTTCCTCTATTTCATTGCTTGTTCTTCCATCTCAGTGTGGCGTTAGCCTTCTTTTACAAACAGACAGTGTTTTGACTCCTGTGCAGAGAAGCATCCTGGTCTCCAGTGTGATCTTACAGAGTCACAGAATTATAGGGGTTGGAACAGATCTCTAGAGATCATAGAGTTCAAGCCCTGCTACAGCAGGTTCCCCAGAATAGATTGCACAGATAGGTGTCCAGATGGGTCTTGAGCATCTCCAGAGAAGGAGACTCCACAATCTCTCTGGACAGCCTGTTCCAGTGCTTCATCAAGCTGACAGCAAAGACGTTCTTTCTTGAATTATTATGGAACTTCCTGTGTTCTGGTTTCTGCCCGCTGCCCCTTGTTCTCTTGCTGCAATCTCACTGCCTCCAGCTTTGTACCATCTGCAGATTCAGTAAGTGCACTCTCTATTGCACACTCTAAGTCTTTCATGAAAAGACAGAAGAAAATCTGAACCACATGTAGAGCCTTTGCAATTTGATCTGCACTTGGTCCAGATAAATTATTCACTACTCTCAAAGCATGGTTCTTCGCATGCTTTTGCACCATCATTCTGTTTTTATCAGGGCGAGAAAAAAAGTGCTAAAAACAATGATTTTGATTAATGTACTCTGCAGTAAATGTTAAGTGCATTGTTTTAATGGTGGGCATACTCAGCTAGAAGTTAAAAGCATTACGTTTTTTATCTGAGTAAGCAGAACTTTGAAAGTTTTTCTTATGAAATCCCTAAGTGAAGTGTTGTCAGGTAGACAGGTCCTAACAGATGAGCACCCAGGAAGAGACAGTTCTCCTGAAATCCTGATACCAATTCCTGAGCTAATGGTTCATTGCTTTCTTCATGAAGACCTAGCACCAGTCACCCACTGCTTCGTATTGCTTCTATGCTGAGTAACATGTCTTAAACCGTTACTAAAAGATTTGCTCCCCTGCTAGGTTAGTTTGCTCATAACATGTTCTGTACTATTTTCATTTGAAACATTTCCTAGACATGGTATATTTAACACTGCTGACACTGGGAAGAACATTCAACTTCTCAGTTTCTGAGCATATCAGAAATATAGTCGATATGATTACAGAAGTGCCAAAGAGCATAAAAAATTCTTCATCACTGCTTAAAACAACAAAAACACGATCGTAACCAACCAACCCAACAAAAGAACAGCAATGAAATTACTCAGGAAAAAGATATGAGTTCCTACAGTACTGATTAGATGGTAAGATAAAAAGAGAAAAAAAGCCATGCAACAATGGCAAAGTTAATTGCTATACAAATAATAGGGATAGCTCTGGAACCCTCTCTGACTTTGTAGCAGAGCTCTGTACAGGTTCTCATGCAGAAGAACAGCACCAGCAATATGTATTTCTTGTAGCAAAGGGTATTTTTATATTCTAGATGTGTGGAGCTGATTAACAAGCCATCAGTTTCAAAGAGAATTAGAGTATGTGACAAATGAGTGACAGCACTGCTGTGGTTTTGCTGTCCTCAGTGCTCATGTTTACAAACCATACAAACAAGAATAAATGTAATGTCTGACAAATAATTATTGCTTGGTGAGGTGACACGGGAAAAAAAAAAAAAAAAAAAGGACTGGAGGGGAACAAAACTGGGATAAAGCACAAAAAGGATGAGCAAAAGTTGAAACAGATCATGAGATCATGCTGGCAATTCTTCTTTTGCCATCCACTGAGACAAATCAAATGCAGGTACTCATATATTTCACTAAGCTACTCCATGTGGTACAATTATGAAGAGGGCTTTAAGAAAAAAGAAGTTTAAGTCAGTAAGAAGAATTCCTTTTGCACAGCAGGAACAGCCCATATGTGAAATGTCAAGTAGCTGCATCTTGCATGTGAAATGCAAATGGCAGAAAGAGGTAGCAGTTCTTCAGTGTGTGGAGAAGTCTGGGAGAGGAGCCAACTTTCATTATGTCTGTGAAACCTGACATGTCCAGGAATGACTTAGGTGAGGTATTTCCAGCTGAAAGGAGAAAACATTAGTTCCTGTGTAGGCTAGGGAACTTCATATGGACCACAGTGTACAATTCAAGCCACCCATGCTTAACAAATATGAACTGAGTTCAAAACAGGTGCCTGGCAGGCAGATGAAAACGACCAGGGAATCGAGAGCCATCTAAAATCTACCTTCTACAGCCCAGCAAAACAAAGGCAGAAACTGGGTGTGATTCCTTCTATAAATACATACGTGAAAAATGAAGTATTTAAACTAAATAACAGTGTTAGCACAGAACATATGGACATAAATTAGCCAGAAGGCTAGAAATCAGCTGATGTTTCTAACTAGAACAGCTCTGCAACAGGTGTTCAGAAGAAACAGCAAAGTGTTGTATGATTTGGTTGACAGCAATCACGAGGGAAAGTAGACCCAAACATCAGGAGATCGTTCCCAATCTCCTCTTGTGTTTATCACCTTTGCTGATCAATGCCAGATGCTCAGCTGGAGCACAGTGTCACATCTTCCCTCCTTCCTTTTCCTTGAGAAAATATTGCAAAAGCCAGAAATGAAGTAGAGCAAATGTCTGCTCTGTCACCACGAATGCTTACGAAGTGCTGGAGGCTGCAATATATTCTCTCCACTTCTATACGTGCACTTACGTAAATTCACACACGCACATCTAAGCTGCATATGCACACACACACACAGAGCGCACATACGCATGTTTCAAATGGGTTACACATACTGTTGCCATTTTATTTTTCAGCACCTGATTGTCCCAGTCTTTTTTCCTCTTTAAACATATGGTCTACGCTGGTCTCACAGTGACGGCCCCGTGTTCTTTCAGGTCAGTGTGCGAGCGTGTGCGGTTGCATGTCACTACAAGTCTCAGGTGTCACAGGCTGCCAGCACAGGGCATGTGCCTGTCAGTGTCAACAGGCGTGGATATTTTAGGCGTGTGTCTCTGTCAAAGTGCAGCAGGCTGCATTTCTCAGGTCAGCATGTGTACCTGCGTATTGCAGCAGTCTGCGTGCCTGTCCTGCTGACAGCCTTGCGGTACGGGACACAGCTCCACGCTTCCACGCGCGCTGATCCCCCACCAGGCCAGGCTGCCCTCCTTCCTCCAGGAACGGGGCACCCTCACGTCTCAGCACGTTGCTCAGGCCTGTGCGTGCCTCCAAGTAACACAGCCCTGCGTGCCTCCGACCTCACGCAGCTCAGAGCGCTGCGTGCGCCTCACGGCGATAGCCACACGCTCTCGGGACTCCGGTGTCCCGAGATGTACCTCAGATGAGCGCGTCGTACCCCGGTGCCACAGCCCCACGTCTGGCCGACACACGGCGATCGCCGCACGCTCCCGTGGTGTGCCTCGCAGCCCCACGTGATCCCGGCCAAAGTCCGTCCGTCGGTGCCGCAGCCCCAGCTATGTGTGTGCGAGGGGCACGCAGGCACGCGTTCGGCAGAGCGGCGCGCCTCAGCGCTCGGTGCGTGCACGGGGAGGGACTCGGGAGACTGAGGAAGCGCGGGAGCGGCGGGCTGGCGGGGCCGGGGCTGGCGGGGCGGCCGGGCTCGCACGTCAGCGCGCCGCGCGGGGAGGGCGGGCGGCGGCGGCGCCGTTAAAGGCCGGAGGCGGCGGCGCGACGCGGGGAGCGCGCAGGGGCCGGGCTCGGCGGGGGGCGGGTGAGGCAGAGCGAGGCAGAGCGAGGCGACGGTCTGCGGCTACACTGCCTGCACCATGTCGGGCACCCGGGCGTCCAACGACCGCACCAGCCACCCCGGCGCCGGAGGCGGGCTGAAGCGGGCACGCAGCGAGCCGGGCGGTAACAAAGTGACGGTGGTGCTGGGGGCGCAGTGGGGGGACGAAGGCAAGGGGAAGGTGGTGGACCTGCTGGCCACCGAGTCGGACATCGTGTGCCGCTGCCAGGTGGGTGGCTGTGTCCGCCGCTGCCCCGTGCGCTCTTCACCCTTCGCTCCCCGCTGCTTTCCCCGCTCTCTCCTCTGTACGTTCTCCCGCGCCGCTCCACTCCGCTTCCCGCTGTTGCTTTGCTTCCTCGCCCGCTCCCGTTCCCCTTCCCGCTCTTTCCCCCCTCCCCGTTCCTTCTCCCTCGGCCTGCGGGGTGGGCAGCGCCGTGCCACTCTCTTTCCCCCCTCCCCGCCCCCACCTCCCTCCCCGGGCGGCGCATGAAAATGCCACTCGGAAAGAAAAAGCCCGGCTCTATAAATAAAAACAGCTGACCCTTCGCGATAAGCGACACAAGATCCCCCGGCGCCGGGAGTTGCCCGCGGGAGTGTCGGGTGGCGGTCGAGCTGCCCCCTCACGGCGCTGCCCCAGGTTCGGCGCTGGGGACCCGGGTTCGCGGCGCCTCTCGGTCCTTTCCGTTCAGCGTTTGGAAGCGCCGTGTCATGAGGCCGGTATTCCCGCCCCGTTGTTATCCTGGAGAATAGCGTTGTTTAACCGGTTCGGAGAGCTGCTGCGTACTGCAAGTCCGTGAGGGCTTTAGTGAGGCTTGTTTATGTGTATGCGTAACCACAGAATCATTGAGGTTGGAAAGACCACTAAGGTCATCTAGTCCAGCCAGCAGCCCTTGCCTGTTATTGCTCTGCACTGTGTCAGTCAGTGCCACATCTGCCCTTTTCTTGAACATCTCCAGGGACAGTGACTCCACCCCACCCCGGGCAGCCTGTGCCAATGCACTGCCAGTCTTCCTGAGATGTTTTCCCTGATATCCAACCTGAACCTCCCCTGGCAGAATTTAAGCCCATCACCTCTTGTCCCGTTGCTGTTACCTTGCAGCTGAGGCTAACCCCCACCTTGCTACAAACTCCTTTCAGGTTATGGTAGAGAATGACAAGATCTCTCCTGAGCCTCCTCCAGACTGAATAACCCCAGATCTCTCAGTTGCTCCCATAAGACTTGAGTTCCAGATCCTTTACAGCTTCATTGCCCTTCTTTGCACATGCTCCATAATGCAAAGAATCTTAAAACCTTAGTCTAGTCTTAATACAAGCCCAGTTAGACACTAAGGCAGTCACTAATAATTGCAATAACTTTTTAAAGGAATGCTTTCAAGTATTAATCATGAGCTGTGAGTGCTGCCCCATCCCTGGAGGTTCTCAAGGCCAAGTTGGATGGGGCTCTGGGCAGCCTGATTTGGTATGGGGCAACTAGCCCGCAACAGGGATTTGGTAGTGTGTGGGCTTTAAGGTCCCTTCTAAGCCATCTTGTGTTTCTAGCATATTGGATCAATAGAGCTACTAATGCTTGTAGCTATCACACTAAAGATTTTGGTAAATTGTGTGACTACATTCATAAACCAGCATCTTAGTTCAGTTCAGTTGCTATGTAGCATGAAACTTATTGTTTCAGAGTGCATTACATCTAGTGAGAAATTATGGATGAACTTGGGATCATCATCTCAGATTTGAGGATGTTTCTCCAATTAAGCATATTGTATAAATAAATATTGCCATGGGAGTTAAGCATTTTAAAAGTGGAGGAAGTATTTTGAGTGGGAACATGGAGCTCCCAAGGTCCTGAGTCACCTTGAGATATTTCCCTGCGAAATTTAGCTGATGAATGTGTATTAGGACAGAAGTAGTAGTCTTCTACATCTTTTTTTTTTCTTTCCTTTTTTTTTTTTCTGTTCTGTTTTCTTTTTAACTTGTTGCTGAGAATCTAAGCACAGGTCCCATAACTGCTTTGGGAAGGAAACAGAGTTCAGAAGCTAGACCTGAGGCAAAGCGTTTCCCATAGGCCAGTCATGTGTTTAGCATTATTACTGCAAGAAGTCATACAGGTTCCCTCTGGACAGTCTTCACTGTGATACCCCGAGGTTGCTTTCAAGACTTCTCTGTCCATCCAGGGAGCTGATGGATGCACAAGCATGGCCCCAGGTGCAGCTGCAGAACAGCTGGGAGAATGCAAGACTCAGTATGTGTGTGCCACAAGGGTTAGTGTGTTAGCAGCAGGCTGAGTGGCTTAGTATGCTGCAGGGCACGTCTAGATCTGCTTTCTGTTGCATGCTGATGAGACCTGGATGGACAGATGGATGGAAGGCAAGTGGATCCAGAAGGCCTCTGGACTCTTCTCGGAACAGTGTTTGCTGACACAAGTACACACACATGCATGAGATTTAACAGAACTGGCTTCAGAATTAGAGCTTGAGGGCAAATATGAAACACTTGAAGAGAAATTATGAGTAATTGTTTACTTTAGAGTAGCAAAAATTATACAACTCCTATAATAAACGTGCTTTTTTTACACATCTGACAACATAGAAGATTTTTTTTTTTAGTGTGCTGTTTTAATAATATTTGATGCTTTCGAAGTTGGTCATGCAAGTAGATAACTGCCTACTCTGACCCTTAAGATTTATTAAGGATATGCATGAGTCTGAGCATTTGAACAGCACTAATTACTATTCTCCCAGTGGGGTAATGGTAAGTGATTAACTTGCAGAAGTAATCAGTTTGAGAGAGATTTATTAGTGGCTTATACTGACATAAAAACACCTCAGCATTTGGACCAGAATCTTGATATTTCCCATCCCTCCTGGAAACTGAAGAGCCTTTCAATAGATTACTTAAATTAGACATGGTGAAGATCTTCTGAAGCCTTCAAGAGACTTCACAATGAAGTTTCTTCAGGAAATGTTTGTGTTTTAGAATTGGATGATTCACTGGGTTATTTCCTCATGTCCCGTCTGCTTCATGTTTTGAGACACTGATTTAAACAGTGTGGTTTAGTCCTCAGTGAAATGGCAGTGGCAAGATTAAAAAGCTAATAACTGGAGGGGGGAATGTTTGTCTTTTAAAGCACTGTCTCAATGGGGCAATTCTTCATTACGTACTATTTGATCTAACACTTTAAAAAAGCTTTTTTCCCTTCCTGAACAGAATTTAGATTCAGGGCCAAATGGGATTTGAAAGACCTTACTCGGAGTAGTATTTCCCTGACGGTTCTACCAAAGGAAGTATAATTTTCATCAAACTTTTCTCAAGTATTTTTAGCTCGTTGCTTTAATGAATAGTTTGTAGCTGGATTGCCATGCAGGAAATGATGTGGTTCCTGGGACACTGGAGGAAGGGCAGGTTAGGTGTATGGGAATAGGGAGTCAGTCCTTCACAGGCACAAGTGAAACTTGAAATGGTGCTAAATGAAGAAAATTCCGCATTAAAACGTCAGCATCTTTAGTTGTCCTGAGTTTTCAGAACGGGATTTTACTTGAATGGAAGATTATCAATGTGATCATGTTGAGTCAGCTCAGTGCTTAGACTGCCTACAGTCCAAGTATGAACAGATTTTGGTGCACAGCCTACTTCATTTTTAACATGCCTTTATATAGTGATTTCCCAGAGTGATGGAAGTTGGAAAGGAACCCCTTGGGATTCTACAGTCCAACCTCCCTTGCTCCAGGCAGAGCCAGCTGGAGCACCTTGCCCAAGGTCACATCAAGACAGGCTTTCTGTATCACCAGAGAAGACGACTCCATCACCTTTCTGGCAGCCTGTTCTGGTGCTCTGTTACCCTCACAGTGAGGAAGTTTTTCTCTCGTGCTGATGAAACTTCCTGTGCTCAGGTTTAGGCCCACTGCCAGATCACTACAGAAAGCAGTGTGACCCCATCCTGTTGATACCTTCTGTTCAGATTTTTGTACGTACTGATAAGATCCCCTCTCAGTCTTTTCCAGCCTGGGCAGGCCCAGATTTCTTCAGTGGCAGCTCTCAGCCCAGCCACGCAATGTCGGAAGCTTTTCATTGTGGCTGCCTCCAAGGCTAGAGCTTGTGGGCAGATATTCTATGGTGGTTTTTTTTTTCTGGTTGGGTAATTTCACAGAGCTGCTTTAAAACATGACCAGGCAAACAGTTGACTGTCACAGCTGCACAGCTACAGATCCAGAGGCATCACTCAAATTAGATCTGTTCCCCATAAAATCCTGCCTTGAACTACTCTGATAAGGTCAGAGTTAACTGAAGGCAGCTGGTCAGCCATGCAGTTGTAGCTGTTTCCTTAAGGAAGCTGAAATTATGCAAGGAACACTTGGAATAATAACTTTTCACTGAACGTATTTACTGCATGGGACTGTGTGGATATGAATGGAAAAGGAAATAGCATGCATTGTCATAAAAAGGCATGCAGTGTGTTATGTCTTTGCCAATAACAATAAAAGCTCATGAGATGCTTTCATTTTTATAACAAAGGTGTGTGCCAAGAATGTCTGAGTTCCCTCTGTAATGGAGAGTAAACAGTTTTGCCTTTTGTGGTGAAGTATTTATGTGCAATAAATAGTCTTACAGCAGAATGTCTAAAAGCACTGGGGCAGAGCACTCCATAAATAATTCTGTAAAAATCTTGAAGGGGAGGAAAGAGAGTGCAGTTTTCCAAAAGCTCAGTGTGGAAGATACAAAAAATGCCACTAGTAAATAGAGACCCATGATAATAATTGTGATCTGTAGTGGGTTTGGTCTCAGTTAATGAACAGGTAAGCAAAATAGTGGCAGTACAAA